AAATTAATTGTTCAAAAAGACATAAATAAGGGAATAAATATGATATTCAATCAATAAATTAAATGTTTACATAAAAACACTTTAAAATGTGGTTTCAGATCATATGACATAAATGAATGCAAAATAAAATAATAAATAAATACATAAGAAATCATCAAAAATACGATTCAATGAAATGCATAAACAAATCACAAACAAAAGCCAACCATTTGTGTACTTTTGAGACTATTATTATATTACTATTATTAGTAATCATTTTGTTAGTAATACTAACTTAGTATTAAACTTATTTCAATACATACTAAATGAGTAAATAATTAGTGGAAATGAAATGAATTAAAAAATTTGTAAAACAAACACAAAATAATTAAATACATAATGCGTTGAATGAGAAACACATTACAAGTGATAGTGATTGCAATGTATAGACAATCGACTCATTCATTGTTTGCATTCAATTAAACGACTATTAAATAAATGGTTAGTAATCCTAAGCATTAGATGATTATAATTAAGACAGTATTTAATGAACAAATAAAACAAATTAAAACAAGTCTTCATTCAAACCTTGAAAGACATTTTCAGCACACAAAATGGTAGCGAAATATATATGAAACAAATTATGGCAATATTTGCTCCTTTTGGGGCCAACACTACCTCCAAACCATTACTCACTTATGGATCTCTTGTGGTATACTTGTGGTTAACATATGTATCGATAGTTAACTAAATATACGAGTAATTAGTGATCAATGAGTGAAAGGCAAGCAATCAAATGAATTGCATTTAAAGAGCAAATCAATGAAATGACGCAAAAGTGTGTGTCGTTTGTGTGAGTCTCAGTGAGTATGCTATGCTATGCTATGCTATGTTATGCTATGGCTATGGCTATGGAGACAACCATTGGTTGAGACTTACGTTTCAATTGTTTGCTTCCCTTATGTGTCGCTGATTTGGTCGCCAATCACTTCAATACACAAATGGATTCAATGGAGACACTGATTGCGATTCAAATGAATGCAATCATACGATTCAAATGGGGTTCAAATTGTTTGCACAAAGTATTCAAACATTCATTGAATACATATCGCATGAAATGAAAGCAAAAGCTAATGAGTGTAGCATTGACTCCGAGTCCACACATACACCAAACCAATCGACAACAGGATTGCAGTTTCACTCACACACTGTCTGTTGTTATGCGAAACCTATTCAACCCTTAATCAGATGCACACCAATGACCACACCCTCCACACCACTCACACTCCGCCCCCAACGCCACCCAAAGCACCGCCACCTGAGGGTCACTTCCGTACGACACTCGCCAACCATTGCACTCGTCATTCACGCCATCATATGGTGCCACAGATGGCATCACACATGATATGGTGGTGGGTGTGGCCTATGATGGGCTTTAAATGTGTCCATAAATGACACACACATGGGGCCAATGAAAGTGTAACAAAAGTTTCGCAAATCATGTAAACAAAGACGTTATTGGAGTTGAAAAGCCATACAATAGCGTCGATTGCAANTAAATGACACACACATGGGGCCAATGAAAGTGTAACAAAAGTTTCGCAAATCATGTAAACAAAGACGTTATTGGAGTTGAAAAGCCATACAATAGCGTCGATTGCAATGAGATATCACTTTCAATCACTAGAAACTCATTTCACTCATTACTTGCACCACTTTAGACACTCGCAGTACATGCAGTAATGGCATTACAATGAGTTTAAACGAAAATATAATTTATTCAAACAATTCTTACAATGATTGGCAATATTAATACAAAACAAAGGTTCGCTCATTTTAAACATTGATACTAAAAATATGTTTAAAAATGACAGTAAAAAATTATATAGTATTTCATTCACTTCTGTATGCTTTCAAATTGATTAATATTTAAATATACAGAATAAGTAATAATAGATTATAATAATATATAATGTAGATTATTCAAAAAAAAACACATGTCAGGCAATTACAGTATAAATAACTGATTATTGGCACAAATAAGAGAAATGCAATAAATGATTAGAATTGTGGGGTCTATGGTATGGTACAGTATTTGTGGCAATTATTATAAGAGGTTCACATTTTGAATCCATTCATTCATGCAATCAAAGTCTGCGATGGATTATACAAATCCAATAAGTCCTTAGCGGTCGCATGTCTGGTGTGGACCCGATAGGCGACGACCACGGCTTCAGTGCACACGAGACGAGCGCTGATCTTATTATCCAAGAGATAGTCGTAAAGTCCCGACAAAAGGGCATTGATTTGCTGTCAATAGAAATAAAAACATTAATACTTATAGAAAATGGTTAGACATGAGTGACAATACATACACTATTAGTCTTACTCTCATTCTTCTTGGACGCCATGTAAATGATTTGATCCCAAAACTCGTCTTCGATATACTTAAGAGTTTTCAATTTATCGGTCAATGCATTGAAGTGATTGATTTTAGTGCTGCAGAAGTCATTGCCGGCAGCCATTCCTTTGGCGATTTGGACCAACAGATCAATCACATCCTCTCTATCCCACTGATCATCACTCAGATTACGGGACAACTGATCGAAGGCGTCGACCCATCGGCGACTGTTCTTCAGGGTCTGCGTCCTCTCGACAATTGTCTCAATGTTTTGTGAATCTCTTTTAGGAATTTTGAATTTCGTGTCAGTATTCAAGTTATTATCGCTATAAACAGACATTCCGTTCATTTCACTACTTCTTTGGCGAGGAATGTAATTATAAGACTTCTTCGGAGCCTCAGACTTCACCTCAAAGTCATTTAATTTCGTGTATTTGCTCTCATTCTTCACGTCATTCCTCGTGTCGGCCGAAGAGCTCTTTCTCTTGTATTCATTGGTTTTCAAGAACTTCTTCGAAAGGCTCTCCTCTTCAAAGTCCAACTCATCGTTTTCCTCTTGAATGACACACAAGTCTATCACCTCTTCGTGTCTCCTCTTCTTCTGGTTATTGGTCTTACGATCACTCGAGTCACTCAAACCGTCTCCATTGGTCTCATTGGACAGCTTTCGACACAATCTGTTGATCTTGTGGTCAATGGATTCACTGAATCCGTTTGTCTGGACATGAGTGCAGTATTTGTCAAGTTTTGGGAACCGATCGATACGAACCACAGGAAAGCGTTGCGATCGACACGTGTTTTGTTTTATCACATCTTTGTATGCCTTCAGCTACTGAATCCGTTTGTCTGGACATGAGTGCAGTATTTGTCAAGTTTTGGGAACCGATCGATACGAACCACAGGAAAGCGTTGCGATCGACACGTGTTTTGTTTTATCACATCTTTGTATGCCTTCAGCCTCTTCTTCTGCACTTTAACCACGGCTTCGGATGACTCGTAAATGATATGATCATCCATTGCTTGGCACTCAAATCACTGATCAAATGCTGCAATCAATGACTGAATGTTCAGCCAATTGTATGGCTAATGTTGTCTCATATGAATCACTCACTCAATGCCTTCATGAGTGTCTAATCACTGTATGACTGACTGTATGACTGACCCAATGCTCACCAATACTGTTGACACTGACGACTAAATGTTAGTCATATTTAGTGACAGTTTGTCACCATTTGCGCCAAACTATTGAAACACAGTTTTGAACTGCATTTGCAAATAATGATTGAAATGCTGTGTGCAGTGCAGTGAAGCCACTGTTTGTGTCGAGGGGTCTATATATTGGACGTGATTTGTGGTGAACTGCGGCACAGATTGTGTGTGAAGTGGTGTGACGTGTAATCCCTGTAACGACTGTATGATTGAGTGTTTTGTCAATTGATTGCATGAAACTAAATCTGCTCTCATTTGGCTCAACGACCACAACACACACTACACTACACTGTACTACAAGACTACACACCACTACACGTGGCATATATAGACGTCGGTTGCTATCCAGTGGTCACTCGTGTCCTATCAGTTGTCAGCGATGGTGAGATCCCAGCGGATGAGAGTGGCCAACGAGAAGGCCTCGAAGAATGTGGCCAACAGAGGAAATGTGCCCAAAACCACGGTTTGTATTGATATATCATATGGTGGTAGTGGTGATGACTGTGTTTGTCCTGTAGAAGACATCTGACGAGAAGTACCCGGTTGGTCCCTGGATGTTAGCCCTGTTCGTGTTCGTGGTGTGCGGGTCGGCTATATTTCAGATCATCCAGTCCATCAGATTTGGCTAAAATTGGTTCATATTTTCTATTATTA